CTACATCCCAAAGAAGCTTCTCCATTCATACCCACAAAGTGCTCAATTACTAGGCATATGCTTCCTCTCATCTGTAGCTTGCATGACCACAGATACTGATAACCAGTGGCATGCTCATGTCTAAACATCAGCCCGCGTAATGAGAGGAGTAAGTAATCGGCTTCAGCCCACAAAACGTAAGAGGACTGGTGCCTGAAGGCACTCTGGCTCCTCCTCAGGCAGTCCTGTCCTCGACTGCATTAACGCTTACTGACAAGAGACTGCCAAGCTCAAAAGGCACTGCCACAGATACTCTGGTGATCTGCGTGTGAGGGAAATAGACATGAAAACATGGTACAAGATGCATATGGAAGACTTTCTGTCCCTGACTTTTCACATTAGCTCTACATACATACTTACATAATATAAGAAATGGATATACTGCTTATGCTCCTGTTATATGCTTTTTTTATGTGTGTATGTACAGTAGAAACATCACCAGCTGCTGATGTTTAGCCCCACCAATGCCCCATGAGTGGTCTTCGGTTCTTGGTTGAACCCATTTAAACTTTGTTGCTAATGTGTTTGTAATTGTACAAGCTGCCTAAGCTTTCTGTAGACCTGCCTTAAAATTGTTACTGATGCAGGCAATTAGTTACACGTAAAGGATAACGAATAACATAAAGTGCTCAAGGGATTCAAGGACGAGGGCCCCTGCCTCAAATCATTACCGCTTTCATTAAACCCCATTAAAAGGAAATAAATGGTCTTTAGACCTATGTATATGTCCTCAAAGGCATGAGGACATGTATGCATCAAATTAACTTAACTCTAGTAAATGTATGAATGGGGACATGTATGCAAGGGGTTCTGTTAAGTAGGATTTTTCTTTGACAAAAGTTTGAAAAGAAAGAGCTCTCAGAAAATAAGATGTAAGTAAATAATGTCTCTGGTCCAACGTGTTGGACCAGGTTGTTCATTCATCTGCTTTAACTTCAACAGTGAACACATCGTATGCATATGATATATGCATATATACTATTCCCTTTTATTTATATACCAGAAACATTTTTTCCTAGGTTGTGAATATGTGTGTCTGACTGTGTTAGAGGAAGAAAAATGACTGATATATGCCTTCACTGCATATGTGTTTGTACAGCATGGCTCGAATGTGAGCAAACATTCCATGTATAGTGTATCTCGGTGACTCAGAAAACAGAAATTAAGACTCCTTGCAGCGAAGTGTTTCTCCTCACCGCAGGCACTGTGGCACATTTTCTTTTTGGGTATCCTGTAATAACACAAGCTGATAGCCACCGTTACCCCTCTTTAAAATGTACTTAATGAAAACAAGTCAAATTGGCTCATCTGTGGCCCTACAACAGAGGGAAGGCAACTTATCTTAATGAGGATCTTAGTACTCATTATCAGCTGGTAACCTGACCAACATGTTACCAGCATTATCATTCCGCCGTCCCAGCTCGAAGACACACAAACACGTTCTCACACACTTGTTATCAGCTTGCCTTCCCTCTTTAAGCCTGCCACAGACAGTGTAACCACATCGGACAGTAATTGTACCTCTCACTCCCACCTAATTGAATTGACAAGGAGCCGGAATTGATATCATTTAACACATTGATCTTGAAAGACAATGAAACACAATGCCACATGCTCTCCTTCCACCTGACTTCTGTTTTCTTCCCTCTGATTCATCTCAGCGCTACTTTGATTTGCCATGTTATTCCCAGCGAATTACCGGAGTCATCCCTCACTCTCTCTCCTCTTTCTCCTTGTGCTGTTCTCTTCTTTATATTTAGTGAGTTTCTGAGGAGGGAACATGCTGATAAAAAAATTATTTCAGTTCATTAATCGATCAAAAATAAGGGTTTTGGACAGTTTGGGAATAATAAAGGAATAATTCATATTTATAATGTAATTTATTTTCCCACTCTACTTCCTCTTTTTATATATATATTTATATATATATATATCTCAAACAAAATAAGTTTAAAAGCTTAATCCAGAAAACTAAATGTCACGTTTTGGAGGTTATGTGGTTGGTCCTGATCCTAGCAGTGATGTGTGTCCTACACATTATGAGGTCTAAGGTCAGAAATCCAGTGAAGCAGAATTTACTGCAATGCTGCAGCAAATTACACACTAACTGTGGGAGGACCTGAGAGAATAAGAGCGCCCACAGCCCAACGACACACACCATCCACCAGGCGTCTCCTGAGTGGGCAAGAGTATCTCCACTTCCACTGCCTCCATTACCCCGCACATGAGATGCTGATAGTCAGACACCTCCTTCTGTCTGCCTCACCCCTACAGAGAGTGAATGAGTGCGCACCAGGGAGTGGAAAATAATGGATGAGGGACAGCTGAGAACATTGTCTGTGAGGCACCGTGGGGAATCGTGTTTACCAGAAAAGCCAAACCTTCCGCATTCCATTATGAGACAGGCAAAAAACCAAGCAGCCAATAGGGCTGAGTGGGAGACGATTGAATCAACCGCCAGACCAACTATGCACCTCCTAAGACATCATCACAAAAAAAGAGAAACAAAGCTACAGTTGCAATAATAATAATCATGAATGCTCTCCAATTACTGCTTGGTTTGAGCTAAAAATATCAGTGGTTTTACCAGGGTTTTGTCCATTTAGCCTGGAATCACTGTGCTGTTTTAATCTTCTTAACTCAGATTAAAGAGTTTTGAGAAATAAAACAGCTGGGATTTTCAATTCTGAAAAACACAATTGCCAAATAAATGCACTTAATATGGTTTATTGGTGTGGTGTTCATGGGAAAGCTGAGATTGTTTGTGGCACGCATAGCTTCACGAGATTCTAATAATATCGAGGTCATCAGTTGACCAAGCAATGTCCATGAATGCTCGAAGTTAGGTTTGAGTCTCTTTTGGTTTTTTCTGTCGTTGATAAGCATCTATAATCCCATTCGTCCCTCCGGACCCTTAATGACACATTAGGCTCTCAGGGCAAAACGCTGACTAATGTTGACATGTCCTCTGCTTTGGCATAAAATTTCACAAAAACATCCAAGCATCCGTGTGTGTTTGGATGTGCAGTGCATAATGGGAGGTAACTAAATTATATCCTCGTTTCTTTCCCTACTTGTCAGTCAACAAGCTAAACACCTGTCTAAGTATGTATGACAATTACACATGCACATACTGTGGGAAGGTAAAGTATTCAGACCCCTTTAAATTGTTCACTCTTTGTTTCATTGCAGACATTTGCTAAAATCAAAAAAGTTCATTTTATTTCTCATTAATATACACTGCAATGAAACAAAGAGTGAAAAATTTAAAGGGGTCTGAATACTTTCCGTACCCACTGTATATTATACCCTCATGCCCACTGTCCTGTGGTTAGTTCTGGGTTTGGTGGTGTTTCTTCCGCCTAATGTGGCGCTGAATCTCAAACAGATTGTTCAACTTCTGCATGTCGGTTTTCTTCCTTGCGGTTTGGTGCATTGCCTCTCGAAAAACAGACTGCAACATTTGATAGCCACTCAAAGGGGGACTGACTAACTAGTATGAGCTAGGAAAATGACTCACTCTCACTGCAATGGTTTACATCCATGTTAGCCAAAATGCCACATGAGCCGCGTTTAAGGGCAAAGCAGCAATACATTAGACTGAAAAGAGAATCATATTCCTCTCATATAGCTGTGGGCTCTTTTCAATGAGCCGTCCATGCACGTTGGTGACCTTGCATACATTTGTATGCCCCACAGCACATACCCACTTTGAAACGCATGTTGAGCATTAAGTGTGACAAATCGGAAATGAGGGAAAATGCTAAAATCTTCCGGTTGGTTGTCCTCAAACTGGCTTCTTCCTGAAATATTTTATAGAGCACGACAGGGGAAAATAGAGTGAGTTTTTACAAGCTGAAAAATGCAGTGTCTTCCCTCCGATAGGCGCACCAAAAGGGCAGTTAGGAAGTTACTGGAGCTGACAAGCTTTCTTAAGCAAGAAAATACAGAAGTGGTCCCTTCCACCTCTCTGTCTTTCTGATCGATGTGTTTCTGATAGTTGGCACATAACTGATGTGATATTCTTAATACTTAAAGTGACCAAAGCTACATAGTTACAATCAGCCTTAACCGTGGGGTGAGTTTACAATGAGGCATGCGTTTCACACGGGCTTTAGTTTTCTGGGACACATACTAAATTACAGAAAGAGAAAAAAAAAAACAATAGCACTGACGGAGAGATAAGCAACCACATTTGGCGTGCCATTAAACACGATAAAGACCAAACGGCTCGTTTACTCAAGCCCCGCGTGGGCAGCGTGTCTAAGGAGACCTTTTCTTAAAGCTGACTTGGATGAATGGGAATTTGTGTCACTAGCTGGATGTTTCCTCACAAAGGCCGATAAGCATTTTGGGTTGGTCACCTTCACGATACACAGAGCAACCACATGGTCGCCTGGCAACGCTACAAGTTGCCGTGATTGCTTTGAATTGCTTTGTTTTACAGTCTGTTGATCATGCCAGGATTTCTTTCTTACTATCAAAACTGTTCTTACAGCAGGAGCTAGAGCTACGTGAAAAAAGGTTGTCCTGTTCAGTTACTGTGTTGGGACACAGCATGAATCATAGCCTTATGAAATGGAGCAGGTTTCAGAGGAGAGATGAGCCACACTTTGTCACTTGCCAGCTGTCAAAATGAGAGGACGTAGCAGTTAACACGGGAGATTATTTATAGACGTTCATTCTGAAGCGCGTTGGTGTTTGACTCAACGCTGACGGAGAAAGTCTTTGGGAGAATCGGGAAAAGCGCTCACCTTTATCTGCATGATGTAGAGCTCTAAACTTTTGCTGTTGTTTATTCATTTGTTTGCAAACTCAGCTGTGAAGAACTGAACTTCCAGGTGTCTGGACAGCAGTTCGGCACTAAGAAAGAGTTTGAATGGCCATGATGTTTCAATGGGTGATTGGGATTTCTGCGTATGGATTTTCCATTTCCGTTTGCTAAGCTACGAGGGCATAACATGGCGCTCAGAAAGCCCGGAGGCAGAAGTGGACACTGTCTTTATAACTGCCTGACCAAGCAGACACTGAAAATCAGACCTTTTGATAATTTTGCAGAGAAACGTAAGGCGGTAGATATGGCAGGCAGCAGAAATATGAGCCTCTTCTCTTGGGAGCTTTCTCAATAAAGTGATTGGATTTTTTTTTCTTTCTTTCTTTTTTTAATAAATGAAAAAAAAACTGAACGTGTCTCTTCCTGCTGGTTTGTTTGCTCTGCCTGTTTACTGAAGAGAAGGGAAACATGGAACAGTAAGAAGCCGCTCGGTTCACCCAGTGAAACTTACAACTGTCAATGAAAAGAAGCAGCTTGTGACTCTGTGTGTATCAGGTGAACCGTGTGGTAGTCTGCTCCCTCCTAAAGCCATCAGTAGGAGTTGGCGTTGACGGCACAAAGAACTGGCGGCAAACTGAACTGATACTTGGCAGATTGTCTGGTTGCTATGTAACATAGCGGTTTTCAGTCATGTTTTCCTCTTACTAAGGAACACATTAATCACAGTTCCAAGATGAAAATGGGCTTTTAGATTTCGCCCTCTGCTTTAAAATCATTGTCCGTGTTAAGTGCCTTTAAAACGTGCGATTCAAAGTGTAAGTTTGAAAATGTTACAGCGTGCACCAACTGCAATAACCGGGTGTTTTTGTTCTTTTTTCACAGACTGGCAGAAAAGAGAAAGGCGACCCCCTGAACTCCGCCATCGACAAAATGACCAAAAAGACCAGGGACCTGCGCAGACAGGTGCGGCTGTGCTTTCATGGCATTACCCCCACGCACACACACACACACACACACTGATTTTTTTTGTAACTTTCTGAATTTAAAGTACAACTTTAGGGCTGCAGGCTAACGGCTCCATATTTTTCTCTTTGCTACAAGCCAATGGTGAAAATGTATGATGGATATTTCACAGCATACATAATGAGCTTGTGACACACCCGGCCAGACCAGGTGGCTGGCTGAGCCTCATTGCCATCAATGAGGCCAAGAAGAGTTTTAGGGTTCACTGGGGGTCCATTTGAGAGCGCTTCAGGTGCTCCTAAACAAATGGCCCATTCTTATGTCGCCCGCTTCTTTCAACAGTATTTCAGAATAAGATTTTATATGCTTGTAGTAAAACACAGTGAACCAAATGTTATTTTCCTTCTTTTTTTATGTTTTTGATTTTTTTTTTGTTGGGGTCATATGTTGGATAATTGCTTTAATCTTGCAGTGGGAAAAAAAAATCCTAAAAGCTCTTCCGTCTCTAGCAATGAAGCTTAGATGACCCATGCTGCGATTCATAACATCAGATCACGCACAAGAACGTGAAATCCATTTGTCATCTTCCCAGAACACCAGAATAATCAGGCTTTTTGCCCCTGCTGGGTTGTGCTGGCTGTGATAAACACGCTGACACCTCACTTGAAACGAGGACACGTAATGAGCAGGCATAGGTGTCTATTTATCATTCAGTTCTTTCCCGTCTCAAAGATTCAATCTAAACTTTACATAACTGGTATTACCTATCTGCTGGTAAAATTCCATTAGGCAGTTGGGATGTTTTTGTGGTGTTGTCCCCCCGCCCCCCCCCAGTTCATCAGCGCCTTCTGTTGCGCAGCGTAAGCAGTCTACCTGCACGGATTGGTTGCGCCCTCTCTGACCTCGAAAGACTACAGGACGCCTCTGTCTCCCCTGTTGGGGCATTTGGGGGAGCTGTCAGGCAGGTTGGCAGGCGGTATTCACTCTGACAGGATGTTGTATTGACTCAGACGTTGGCTTGACAGAATGGGCGATGTGTTTGGGCTCTGCCTAAAGATGGGAGGGCAAAGCCGCGGCACACGCACCGGCACTCCGTCGACTCGTGATACTGTAATTATGTCAACAAGGCCCGCTTTGTGTTTAGCAAGTCAACGGCGCCGTGTAGAGACGCATGACCCTCCTGTGGGGAGGAGAACAGTCGTGCATTTGAGAATTTCCGTGTAGAGCGTCTCCATTGTGAACGGCGCGGATTAAATATTAGAGCCGACAACAACAACAGATGACAGACGGCGTTTCTGAAATGGGAGCAGGTAAGACCAGGCAAGCCTTGCAACAACACCGCCAGAGAGGCGCAGCCTTGTTTTGTCTGCCATGCTGATGCGTACACACGAGACGAGGCAAAGTTGTCAGTTATCCAGTGTTTGTTTGAGCTCCCCCCAGCCTCTCAATCTTTTAGAGAATTTGTTTTTAAAAAGGAGTGAGTGCCATCGAATCTGAATCAAGAATCACAGCCCAACATTTAAATGACAGAAATGTAGAGAGAATGTGTGATTTACAAAATGACATTGGGAGGATATTTTGAAGGCAAAGAGAAAAAAACTGACAGCTATGCGCATAGGACTTGGCAACCTGTTATTCCTGTCTCCATCCACAATAACAGCACAGCTGCTGTAAAGTCATAAGAGATGTTAATTATCTGTATCTTCTTACATAAGGCTTTCTATTTAAAAAAAAAAAAAAAAAAGGATAGTTAAACCAAAGCCCCAGCAGCCATCATTTTGCTCTCTCTGGTGTTTAGACTCACACAGTTGTAGCTAACTGCTTGGCAACTTCCCTCAGTAAGCAGCACACTAAAATTTACATAAGCTCTCCACATCCTCTTGAAGAAAAAAAAAGACAGGAAAAACAAAGCTGACTCTGCGGCCATAAAAAACCACCTTGATGTCTGAAATAATCTTATCTGACAAGACCACATTAAGACAAAAGGCTTTTCTAGGACTTCATCTCCATAAGTCAGTGCCCCTTATGCCTCACCGGTCTTTAAACAGCAGGTGACCCTCCATTGTCCCGCTGTACATCTGTTACTGGCAGCAGGGCAGCTTCTTTCATGCTCACTGTCTGGTTCAGCAGGTTGCAGGCATTAAACCCAATGATGCCTTTTTTCTTTTTTTTTTTTTGCAATAAAAATCTATTTTATTCATTTATTAATTTTCGTTAAGGGTAAGAAGAAATACTGCTCTTGATAAGAGACCAAAAAGTAAGAAAGATGCAGATGTAGTTCAGAATAAACAAAGTTCACCTTTACTGATTGCTCAGGAGCCAAGTAAGCAGCATCCCTGTCTTGATGCTCAAAGTATGAGATAGAATTATCAATTTCAGGTTTTAGCACCTCTTTTAAGCGAAGGTTTTGTCAGTTTGGAGCATTTCAACTATTTACGTGTGTGCACACAATGGCAAGGAGGAAAACCATCAGTGATGATATTAAAGAAGCCACTGCTGCTGACCATCAATCTTGGAAGGGCTATTTTTAAGCTGTTCTCATTTCATCATACAACAAAGGCCTAGAGCATTCACAGGTTGAAGACAGCTGCCAACATACCCAGGAGCGGACGTCCCAGCAAGGTTACCCTAAAGTTAGAGCACAAAGTCTACAGAGAAAAGGGCAAGAAAGGAGGTGAACGAGAAAGAGAAGATTATCTGAAATTTTACGAGCATGTCAAATGTTTACATTCTGTAATTAAAAACAAAGTAAAACATGGTAACACAGCTTTGGTTTAAAAAGTGTTCTTTGGACGTCCATAGGACACAAAACACATCTTATCACACATTTATTGTGATATTCTAGGATGTGATCTGCATTACATATAGAAAATATAAAAAAAACTTTCATCATCAACAAAGCTTTCCCAGTTCAACTGAAAGCTAAACTAAATCGAATGTAAATACATTTAGACAATTACTGAAAAAATGGAGCACAACCAGGATACAACATGTAAATAAAGGCCTCTCTGATCTGTTGGTGTGCACAGCTAATGGTCCGTGCATCTCAAGCACAAAACCACCTCATACAAATCTTCAGGCACGGTGGTGGGGGATTGATCATTTGGCCTTCTTTGGGGCCATTGGACTTGGACTCATTAACTCATTGTCAGGCAGTCGAGCTGAACTTTTGCATACGTTGATTTTATTTATTTTTTGGTGAGTGAAACACGAGAGCATCTGCCTGAAAGTCTCTAACTGAAGGAGTGTGAAAATCAATCAATCAAAAAATCAATCGGGTTGCTGGAAAGTTGCTGTCAAAGTCCAGACGTCAGCCTGAACGAAATACTGCTGTGACACCTGAAGAGAGCTGTGCATAAACAAATGTCTACAAACTTAAATGAACTCCAGCAAAGTGGCGGGCCAAAGACTTTTCAGAAGGTATTCAATTCTTCTTCAGAAGACGAAAATGAAAAAAAAGAGTAATACGCCAGGCCTTGGTGTACGTATGAACTTGCATTTAGTTTACATGGCTTATTGAAACAAGGTTTGCTTCCTCTTTTTTTTCTTTCATCAGGAATTTGAAACATAAAATATCACACACACTGTAGCATAAGTTGAAGATGATTAATCCTGCATCCCAACCACTGCTTTTAAGAAATTATTTACAAATATGTCTGGAAAGAGCAAAAGCAGTCACGTCAAGGCAAGGGCAGTTTAATAATGTATGAAAAAGGTTAGAGTTGAGGAGTGGAAGTGTGACCACTGCTGGTCTCAACAGTGAGCATTTCCTCAATTTTAATAATGCTATTTTTTTACACCTGCACACACACACACACACACACACACACACACACAATGCCCAGAGTTCCAAACCAGACAGCTACAAGGTTGAATTTTTTAATTCCATGAGGCATGCTCTCGTTGCTCACCCTGTCCCCCCCCCCCTTTCCTCCCCTTGTGAGCTGTAAAGCAAAGAAAAAAAACAAAACAGGATTAAAAGCTTGTGAAATGATTAACTACATTAGTGTTGCTGAATTAATGAATAAAAACAATGTGCGGCACACACAAACTACAAATCATCAACTCACCACAGAATAGCAAATCAGAAATAAGAAAAAAGTCAAACTTTTTACCTCAATATCAAAACAGTCACACCAAAACGCTGCCACTTAACAGGTAAAAATGTAGATCATCATTTGAACCTAAGCTCAGAAAACCTTACAAAACGTTCCTGATGAGTATGAATAAAACAAGTTGTTCCATTTGTCATGTGAAACTCGGTTTAAAATGACTACATTTGTAAACCACGGTGGGCCTGAAAATTCAAGCTCGTTCCTAAACCGATTAAATCGTAGTTTTTTGTAAGAGTTTAGACATTTGGATAATTAGCCATTACACTGTAACATCAGGGAGGACTAATGGCTCCCAAATTCATTTAGCAGCATGACTTCATGGCTTCAAAGGTCATGAAAAACTGAAACGACTAGATGCTGACAAAACACACCAGAGCCCGGCTTTCCCCTCAGATTCTGTGCCCCACACCCTCTTAACCACAAATCCTGGAAACAGAATTTCGGAGAAATTATAACATTTTGATTAGCCACATTTATGTTAAGCTTTTTTCTTTAAAAAGCATCTGCTCTAGGCTCCGCATAGCACATTGATTTGGTCAATGCAGTAGAGATCGGGATGGAGGACATTTTCCTTCATATTAGCAGTGCAAGATTTTTCCCCAAAACTCAAATAAGCATGTTTCACTTTCTAAGTCCTGTGTCCAAAGCAGTGAAATAAACATCCGCGTTTGTGCTGAATACCATCTAAGTGCCATTTTAATGTTGAAGACATCATGTTCTGTCTTTTGATGACCAACATAAACTTAAAGGTCAAACGTATTGAATACCAAATTTTCACACCTCATGTTCTTGTACCCCAATAGATACCAGTAGACATGGAAGATATTTAAAAAGTACAATATTTGAACACACCTTGTGTTCATAGAATAGAATGTTTTTGTTGGT